CATATGTGCCTTCAGCCTCTCTCAAAGGCCGCCTCAGGTCCGATCGGATCACTGGCCTAGAAATGCCGTCAGGCGTGGCTGGGCGTTGGAGCGTGGAGTGCCTCGGGAGTGGCAGCCCCTCACCCACCCCCGTGCCACGTGCAGAGTGAGGACCGTGAGAAGCAGGACGAAGGGCCCATCGTCTCCGCAAGCCTCTCTTCATTTTGTGAGGGTGGCCGGCGACACCCGAGGCCGCAGCACGGAGCCCTGGGGCGGCAGGCACGGAGTTCCCTGTAAGCCTGCCGGGCGGGACAGCCGACACGCCACCAGGCCCGTGGCAGGTGTCCTGGCTTTCTAGTGAGCCTGTGCGTGGCCGAGAGAAGCGGTTCATCGACGGGGGACAGCTCCTGCCACCTGCATCTGTGCCCCCCCAACACATCCCTGACTCACCGCGGCTCACGGGCGCACACGGCAGCCGGCACGCTGTCCCACCGGGCCCCAGCTCCCGCCCTCTGTGCCCTCACTCACCTCTCTCAGTTCAGAGTTTCTACTGCTGGCTCTTCAGGTCGCTGGGCACATCTTTAAATAAGATGGATGGACAAACGCACACAACACTAAAATATCAAAATACACCCCTTTAAATTAAAAAATGTGATCCTCTGGGTTTGTCACACTGTTGCCGTAGCAACAGTGCACATGCGTAACATCCGCCAGGTCCGTCTTCGGCATGTCTCATTTCCCCTCTGCACGTGCAGGGTCCCAGGGACAGAGACCAGGTCTTACCCAGGACTTATTTTGTGCCCCAGAGAAGCCTGGGAAGGCAGCGAACGTGTCCAGGCAGCTCCTACGAGGACTCGCTGTTCAGGGCAGAAGAAACAACAGGACTCGGCGTCCAGCAGCGCAGGGGGCCGGGGCCAGGCCAGCTCGGCCAGCTCCGCCTCCTCCTGCCTCGGCAGCCCGACCTCCTGCCCACAGACCCAGGAGCGATGCTGGCTTCCTCTGCTTTCTCTCTCAACAAGGCGACAAGGCGGGAAGCCTGAGCGATCTGAGCGGCCCTGCAGGGGACCCGGTCCGCCCCCCGCCCCCGCCCCCGTCACTTCAGAAGCCCAGCATGTTCTCTGCGGCGTTCCTTGTCTGTACTTTCGTTGTCTCTGGAACTGCAGGGTTCCAGTTTTCACAGTTCTTTCCCATGACTCCCCTCAACCTTCACCCAAACCGTGCGCACCCCTTGCTGAGGACGCAGGGTTTTCCGTCTCTGCCGCCGGCGCGCGGGGCTCTTTGGCGGCGAGAAGCCTGGCTTGGGCAGGGCTCGGTGTGAAGAGACAATGACGACCACAGCTACCCAGTATTGCCAGCATCGCCCGAGCAAGTTCAAAGCCAAAGCTGGCAACTAAGAAGTGATGTTTTAATGACCTTTTCCATCTGAACTGGGGCCCGAACAGACCGACTAGACCTTGGCTTTCAGAGGCATGGGTCACCGGCAGCCTGAAACTCAGCCCCAGGGTTATGGCTTGTGTGTTCCAGCCCTTGGAAGTGCCAGCACTGGGCCAGACTGTCCTCCTGGCTCCTCTTGGGCAGGCCAGGGCCACCGTAAAGCCCTTTGGTAGCTCTCCAAGCAGTGCTATCGGCTTGTCCAACCGACCGTCACCCAGCCCCTCCGCCTCGTCACACTCGCAGGGCTATTTGGGGAATGCCGTGACGTGCACAGGTACCAGGGAATGGTACTGTGAGAACGGGGCCCGGCTCCAGTCAGGTGGCCCTGGGGAAGACCGAGGAGATGCTGAAAAGCGTGAGAGGCTGTCCGTGGACCCCAGACAGACAGTGGACCAGTGCGGGGGCTCGGGGGTGGCGAGGCCCGACATTGTCGTTCTCTGGTGAGACGGTGTGGGGCGACAAGCTTTGACCACAGTCTGTCAAAGAAAATGGAGACCCAGAGACACCTAAAATTGGATGGCGTGAGGGATTCAGGGCCGAACAGTCGGATGAGGAGAACAAGCCCATTTTTCCTTGACGAGAACAGCGCACCGACTTCTCAGGCCTCGAGCAGGAATCCGCGTCTCGGGCTGGGCTCAGCCAGGTCGTCCTCTGCCGGCCTTGGCCGGGCTCCCTCGTGTGCTTGCAGTCAGCTGGGAGTTCAAGGCTGCCTGAGAGGGTGACCGAGGTAGCCGGGCCCTTTTCCCTCGTCACACAGCAGGACAGCCCAGGCTCGTTCACCTTATGGTAACTGTAGGGTTCCCAAGAGCAGCAAGAGAAGACAAGCACCATGCACAAGAACTTTCCAAGAGTCTGCGCGTGTCACATTTGTTACTGGGTCACCAGCCAAATCAAATTACGTGGCCAATCCCAGATGGAGACGCAGACTGGGCTTCTCGATGAGAAGGGAAAAGTTTGTGGCCATCTTTTTCAATCTATATAAATGACAAAATCCAGAGAGATCTAGCTTTGGGATTTAGGCAAAGCCTATCAGTTGGGCAGCGGTGGGAACAGGAAGCTCTCCTTCCTGAGAAGGCAGTGTCCCTCTCTCCCGGAAGCATCCAGCGAAGCCGAGACCCATGCGTATACCTGCGGCGTCCTGGAGCGGCAGGGCTCGGTGGCAGAAGCAACGTGTGGTAGACGAGGCACAAACCCAGGGAAGATGCGGGGGGCGGAGCTTGTGGGGAGAATGGCCCACATTCCGAATGTCACGAGAACACACGTTCTTTTCAGTCCTCTCTCTCCTGTTCATGATGCAGCTCTCTGCCACCTGCATCTGTGGCGTGTGTGTGTGCGTGTGTGTGCGTGCGTGTGTGTGCGCACGCGTGTGCGTGCGTGCACTTTAAGCGTTTATCAGAAGGCACCAGATGACAAGCTAATCAGAGGGCAGGGGGAGGCGGGGCTCCATGTGTGTGGCACCAGCCTGTGGGAAGTCCAGGACAGGGGAGGATGGGGCAGCCCTTAGTGTCCGACTCAGATGTGGCCACGCACAGAAGACAAAAAGCAGTTTACGTCCTCAGAATGGAAAACGAAAAACTGCTTAGAGAGCTTCCCAAACAGGCGCCCTCTCCCTCGTTGTGGTCCAGCCACTTGAGAACTGTCTTTCAGAATAGAAAATCGAAGTAATTTCTGTGACAGTCCAGCAGGCCGCTGTCACGGGGCTCACCAGAGGCCTTCTGATTTTAGCGATTTCATTGACTAGTGGCTGAGAGGTGATGGAGATAAAGGCGTATTTAGCCGGAAACTATCGTCTGTCCTCAGGACAAGGCTTTCTTCTCAAAGCAGTGATAAATTCTGTCTCGAAGCCCAGCGCGGGAGGTATGGAGATGATGCTGCAGGCAGAGCATCTTCTGGAGATTTGCGGTTCAGGCTCACTCGCTTTCAGGGCTGGAAAAAGAATCCTGGTTTGGCTAAGGAGACTGAGCAGTGTGAGTTCCGCAGGCGAGAAACTGCACGTGTGCAAAGGTCTGCACACGCGGTCACGGTCGTGATGTTTCTCAAACAAGTTAGGTGGCCACTGAGGTTTGGAATCAGCCTCCGTCATGCTGTCCCCCGTCTCTCGCCAAAGCAAAGGTCAGCAAACCTTCCAGGGTGGTGGCCGGAGAAGGTCCCGGGCCTGCCGGCTCTTGGATTTGTGTCTTGTCCCTGTCGTCCGCTTCTGATTTCTAGTCATCCAGAGAGACGTCTCGAAACAAACATCAGACCACAAGGGACATCCTGGTCGGGAAGTCACTCTGGGGACGAGCAGAAAGAACCCAACGTTAAACCACACACTAGTTAAAGAAACCCAACGCAACACGACAGGTGGTTCTGTGGGCAGAGTCCACACCTGCTAAGACATTTCCTTAGGCCTGTGACTACGGCCCCTAAGCCTCAGTTGGTGCCGAAGCCAGCGTACATCTGGGGAACTTAGTTCTGTGGCCACGGAGTAACTTCTTGCCCCTTCGGGGATAACTACGGTGTGACGGCCCCACAGCAGCCCGTGAATGGTGTGCCACGAACCCGACGTCACCTGACAGTCCCTTCCCTACTACAGGACTCTGGTCATTGCATTTTTCCACTTAAAGAACAATGAAAAACATTTAATTCTTTTGGAGAGATAGGTAATTGTGCCAGAACCTTCTTCCGTCATGTTCTCTCCCCATACTGCTCACCAAAGAAAATGTGCAGCTTGGAATCAGGAAAACAAAGTGGGGGGCGGGCAGGGTAATGAGGGGACGGAAGCGCTGGTGCTGGGCGGGGCCCCCGGGCGCGGAGGCACCTGCAACCCACAGCGCACAGCCGCGATGGTCCCCCGGTGTGCCCAGGTGTGGGGCTCACGCGGGGAGGCCGAGGGGTGGAGTGGGCTGCTCTTGGCATTTAGAGAGAAGGCGGTAAAGTCTACAGAAGGCCACTTACGCGAGAGACAATTAACTGTTCAGGGACCAAAAGATTTCCCTTACGTATCCAGGGCACGGTCCGCAGTTTCCACTCAGTATAATGTCAGAGGAGGGAAGTAGCGAGCTGTCCTTTGTAAAGGGATGTGGATTCTTTGGGGAATATGATGCGCGTGTCCCCCGAGGGGCTGGGGATGGGAGGGACGCCCACAGGGGCATGCGCAGAACGTTCTGCACCTGCACGCAGGCCTTTGCGCCCCCCTAAAGGCCTGCGGCGGAGATGGCCTAGGATCCCGGACGCTACATGCTTCTTAAAGCTCGTCGTCCATGGCGCGACGCTCTCCACCTGCACACCTGCGACGTCTGCCTTGTCCGGCTCTCCCGGGCCCCTGCGTACTGACCCCGCTCATCCTCGGATAGAGGGTGGAGGGAAACCAGCCCGACGCCCGCGGTCCCCGAAGCGGGCTGCCAGCCCCCTGCATCCGCCCACGGGGGACGGGGGCGCCACCCCTGGACGCGACCCCGCGCCGCCGTCTCACCGGCTTCTTGGCGGGCTCCTTCTTTCTCCTCTTCTCCGAGGTGCCGTGGACGGACAGGTCGCGGCCGCGATAGGACGGGCCGCG